GGAGGACGAGGCAAGAATCAAAGTCGTGGTATTGGAGCTCAGGAGAACGAGGCTCGCGCACATGTGTAAGAGGGAGGATGGATGTGTCGCGATGGACGGGTACACAGAGGAGCGAAGCGAGAAGCGACGACGAGACTCGAGGGCATTTCGGTCCTGGTCGTCTTTTTTGATATGCCCATGTGGAAGCTTAATCCATCGCGTGACCACGACGCCATTTTACATAGAAAAAGAAATCCCTCACCTCCCGCCCAAAAATTGCAACAGCCCTGGGAGGACGCAGTGCCGCCTGAGCAAGGGTGTTTCTCGTGGCTTTTTTGTCTCGGCCTCTTCGAGTTGACAGAGCCGTCTTTTGCTTCCTTGTCCAGGCCCCTCGCCCCTTTGCACGTTTTGGGTCCCGAGTCCTCCCCTCTTCCATCTCCCCTCCACCTCCCCTTGCTCCCCATCCTAATTCCTTTCCGCCCTCTCTCGCGGCGTCGTCCCGCCTCCCTCCCCGTCCCTAAGGCGCCCTACGTGTCTGTTTCCTCCCTTGGTTTTCCCGGGCCTCAGTAACCCAGCTTGTCGTTCAAAGCGGTGCGTCCATCTCCCTTTTGCCCTTTGGGCCGGTGGAAAAAAGCCACGTACGCGTCCTCCGCTCCCTCCACCGCCTGGCTTCGCGCCATTTTCTCCGCTTCTTCTTCACCCACGTCCCTGGTGGCCCCGCCGGAGGGGAGGGAGTGAGGGAGGGAAGGCGGGGCCGAGGGAGGGGCGGTGGGACCGGTCGTTTTTCTCCTCTTGGAAGGACCAACGTCGGGAGGAGGAGGAGGAGAAGGAGGAGGAGAAGGAGGAGGCGGCCGTGCGAGGGAGGAGGGAGGGAGAGCGTGCGGCCCTGGGAGGGGGCGGCTGGACGGCGCGGGTTGAGGGAGCGAGGAGACCACTGTGGAGGACGAGGGGGAGGGCGGGGAAGTATCGGGTGAAGCGGAAGCGGCTGTCGCTCCCAAGGCCGGAGGGGGGGGAGGTGGAGG